GCTTTTGTTCACACCTGCCAGCAGGTCTTCTACCTGGAAGCTCACCATGGCTAGAACGCCGTTTCCTAAGTTCTCCCTTCCACTGCTGTGCTGGTGAGCACTCTACCACTGTGCCTGATAGAAACTCAATTCAAGTTAGCTTAAGCCAGAAGGAACCGACTCATATAACTGACAACTGTATGAGTTAGTTCTGTTTTAGGCATAGGTAGATTTGAGGTTTAAATAAACAATATTGTCATGTTCTCTCTCTGCCTCCCTCCCTCTTTCCTGGGTCTTCTTTCATCTACATTGGCTTCCTTCTCTTATACACTGTCTCCATGTGACAGGGTGTCTCCAGGCTTGTAAGGTTCTTATATCTCATGCTCTCAGAAGGATGGAAAACCTTTCAGACCTACAGAATCCATATCAGTCTCTGCAAAAGGATTCTGACTGGCCACAGCTGGGCCATGTGCCCATCCTGGAATGGTCTCTGTATCCTGGGAAGTGGGGTGTGCATAGCACCTAGCACACCCTCAGCTATGTGTCTTCATCTGGGGCAGGGGAATCCGGCACCTTCCTAGTTCTGCCAGAATCCTATGGTGTGGGCAGAGTGGTTCCCAAAAGGAAGGTTCTGTACCACACAGAGCAGTCACAGGTAGACACTACCTCTGCTATACTTGAAATAATCACACACATTTATTCATTAACTCTGAGGAAACCAAGGTAAACAAATGTGACAAATAAGGGATATTATGTAAAAAAACAATCTTACATCAGTGGCAGGTGCCCTTGATCTTCCAGACCTCTAACGTAAACTTCTGATGGAGCAGGGAGAATTTCCATTTTACTGATCAGTGTATGCTTAGCACCTGGCACATAAAAGGCATCTAATATTGTTGCTTTACAATAGAGTATCCAGTGAGGTGAAGTTTAAAACAGAAAGCTTCTGACTACTAAGTCTTGGGGGCAAATAATTCCCCTCACCAGAGGAAGAACCACTTTGGCGAGCCCTCTCAGTTATGAAACTGGGAGGCAGGGGCACCCCTGGAAGAGGAGAAGAGGAGGGTGGATGTAATTAGTGTGTGATGGTAAATGTTTAACAACGGACTCTCCAAGGAAAACATCAACTCTAATTGTAGTAATTGCCAATTCCTATTGTGTAAATACTCCCACCACTGTCAAAACCAATCTAGCACGAGTCACTGAGGGCAGAGTGGGGAAGAGGCACACAAGTTTTCAGGAGCCGGTATGAGCTGGCTCCAGCCCAGCACAGGATGTGACCGAACCTTCTGTGGATGGGTGAGGGCTGCTCCTCCCCAAGACTCTCTAGTTTGAACATCTTGGAAAAGATTCACTAACTGCATGTGGAACTTTGGGTTTTCTCGGGGCAAAAGATCAAAATCTAAAATCCTTATCCAAATATTTGAAATTAGTTAAACATAATGAAGTGGCCCAAAGTGGCACTGACCAAGATTCTTGGTCAGATAAGGACTTCAAGGATCCCAAAGAGAAACTCACCATGAGGGGTGTTGTTGGTCTGGTGACCTGGGTACAGCATCGGTGTTGGGGTGACTGAGAATTCCCAAGTAGCCTATGGCGAGCAGTTACCCTGTACTCAGACACCCAGGCAAGGATGTCATGCTTCAGAGAACAATGGTTAATAATTTGAGTGTAGCTAAAAATTTTACGCTAGTGAAGCCCACTATGTGCACCACTCTGGTTCCAATAGGTTTCCAGAGAGCAAAGACACACACAGCAGTCGACAAACATTCTCTCAAGTACAAGGCACCTGTCTTACCAGTCAAGTACACCAGGAGTTTGTAACTAAGACCTAAGTGCTCATGGGTGTGTCAGTCAGGACAGGCTAGGTTATGCTGTAGTAACAAGCAATACTCATGTTTTAGTGGCTTAATACAAGACAAGGTTATTCTGACGTTATTCTGTATGCTCGTAAATATTGAGAAACTAGGGTTATAAGCATTGTCTTGGCACCTACTTCTATCATTGCTGAGGCATAAAAAGATGTGGCAAATGTATGCACTGGATCTTAAGGGACACCTCAATTCTGCTCTCATTTCACTGGACAAAGGGAGTCCCATAGGTGCGTCTGCACCACAGGGCAGGGCAGTGCAATGCTAGCAGGTGCCCAGAAGATGGAGCTGGCGAACAGTGCTGGCCACGGCCAGAGATGAGGACTGAAGAGTTTGGTTATTTTTTTCTCCTAACCTCTGGAAGAAGGACCCAGACTTATTTGATGTTTGAACTGAGTAAGCCCCCCAGGAATATCGAACAGCTCAGTTGGGGGAAGGCCTAAAGGGGATACTAAACCTTCTGGTTTATGAGGGAAACCTCTAGAAATTACTTGCAAAATATAACGAGAAGTGGCAGTTTGTGTATGCCAAACAGGAAAATTGGGTACTTGAATGAATGAGTGAATGAATGAATGAAACTTCATTCAAATGGGCTCACACCTTTCTCCTGTAAACATCTCTTGTGACTCTTAGGTATTTTTCCAGGAAGATGCTATGCCTTCCGTCCACTGCATTATTGCTATTGGTGAGAGCAGCCGTTGACCCTTCTCCCTAGATAAGAAGACGCCATAATCAAGTTTATCCCTCTCCCAGTAGGTTTTGTAGGCAGAATTGAAAGATTTATTTTTTCAATAAATGGGAGTCAGATGCTGAGGGCCATTCAAGCTGAGACGTAATGAAATTAGGAAAGCTTATCCCAGAGCACAGAAGCTTACAGATTACAAAATTCTCTTGTTCTTGTTTGTTGAATTGTTCTTAAAAATTCCAAAAGCAAAGCCTTCTTTTTGCAGCATGAGAAATGAAACAGTGATGCACAGGGGAGAGGTCTCTCCTACTGCCTTCAACCCCCTGAGGTAACCACTTTCAACAGTTCGGTGTGGACCCTTCCAGACCTTTTCCTGCCCGCCCCCCCACACATGCCCATCTCTAGAAAGTACATATGCACACACGGATGCATTCCCCTTTCTCTCTTCCTCCTCTCTTTCCTTTCTTCTTCCACATGTGAGATCTAAGTATATACTTTACTCTGAAACTTAATTTAATAATTTGTGTCTCTCTCTATAGATTAGTGTTTTCCAGACTGTGAGCGTACCCATTTGTGTATCATAAAATTAGTGTGCTGGGTCCTGACCGGCAATTGTTTTAAGGGAAGTAACATAGGAAAGACTAGTAAATATCAGAGAAGTCTGCATGTCGTAAGGATAAAATTATTGTTTTATGAAAATTTTATTTCAGTAGAGTATACGTAGTTTCCTCATCTACAAATGGGGATTATAATAGTGCCAACCTCATGGGCTTTTGATAGGATTAAATGAGCTATTTATTATATGCAAAATGCTTAGGACAGTGGCTGGCACCTTGTAAGCACAATATAGATAAGTGGTCATTATTTGTCATCATCATCATCATTGTCATCATTGTCCTCACTAGCTTTACATTTCTCTCTGATCCAAGGGTGGGGGAAGCATACGATTTGATTTGCACTTGCCTGTCCACCAGGGAGACTGAGCATCTCTTTATAGGTTTATTGGCCCCTGTGCATTTCCCTTGGACTAATTTCCTGCTTAATATGCCACGCCCATTTGTCTGTCTGGTTATTTGATTTTGAAACAACTTATTTGTCTTTCTTTGTACAACAGGGATATTATCTCTTTGATTTTCAGATATATTGGCAAATATTTGGACTTTATTTATGGTGCCTTTTGCCATTTAGACATTCTTAATTTTTGATATAATATTTATTTAGTTTTTTTTCTTATGGATTTTGGGTTTCCTTCTTGCTAATGAGGCTTCTTTACCCAATGGCTATAAAAATATTCTCCCAATAATGTTTATTGCTTTATTTTTTACATTAATCCATCTGAAGTTTATTTTTATATATAGTCTGAAGTAAGAGACTAATGTTGTTATATTCTGGATGAATGGCCAATTATTCCAGTCTCATTTATAAAATAAACCATTCTTTCATGACTGAATTTAAATACCACCTTTATCATATATTAAGTTCCTATATATACTTGGATCTATTTCTGCACTGTTCCTCTGATTTCTTTGACCATTCCCAGGCTAGTACCATACTATTTGCATTGCACCAGTTTATGTATAATCATTCCCTTACTTGTGTTCTTCATTGTCTTAGCAATACTTATACACTGATTTTTCAATATAAAATTTAAAATTGTAGTGTACATTTTTATTAAAGAATCTTTTATGATTTTTATGAAAATTTAATTTGTGTTGAAAAGAACTGAATTTTTATGATATTAAATTTTCCCATTCATTTATTTCGATCTTATTTTTTATGTTTTTTCGTTGTACTCTTCACATAGAATTTTGGTTAAGTTGATTCCTTGGCACGTTAGTTTCTAATGTGATAGATCATTAATGAAATTTTAAAAACTTCATTTTCATTCTAAATGACTTTTGCTACACAAAGATGATTCTTACATTTTTGTATATTTATTAAACTTTTTTGAAGCACCGTATTTGCTCTTTAATTCTAATAGTTCTAAAAAATTATTATGTTCTCTTAGCTGTTCTAAGCATATGGTTATATAATCTTTAAATAAAGATAATTTACTGTCTTAATTTCCAAATTTTTTCATTTTCTTTTACTATTACATTAGCTAAAGTCTCCAGAACAATGTTGAATACAAATGATGCTTGAAGGTATACTTGTTTTCTTTCTGGCTTTAATGAGATTGATTACTATTTCACATTTTAATATGATGTTTAATTTTGAGCTTTGATAATAGTCTTCATCATACTTAGGGCACTCTATGTATTTCTGTTTAATTCAGCAATAGTTGCGATTGCTAAAATTTATCAAATGTCGTCTCAGTGCCTATATATTTCATTTGTCGTTGCAATGAATTTTATGGACAAATGTTTTAATATTGATCCATCTAGCATTCCTGGAACAAATGACTACGTGGGATGCCACAAGGGGAAAAAAACAGTAAAAGAAACAAAAAGAAAAAGCTGTGTGTGTAAGGAGAGAAAGCAAACAGACACCAAAAATGCAAATAGCAAATGTGATATTATTACTGATGTTTGGATTATCAGGCAAAAAAAGAAATGAAACCTCCAAGAATGTGAAACAAATAAAAACAAAAAACAAAATTTGTTTCCAAATAGGCCTATTACACTTTCGGCCAGGTACCATGGGAGGTTATGCCTTGGGGCCTGAGTAGGCGAGTAAGTACTTCCTGTCTACTGGACACAGGTCTCGGAATAATATTTGTGAAGACGATAGGCTGTACGTTGACTGTGGTCTTCCCAGTATTCAGAAAAAGTGCAAATATTATTTCTGTAACTACTACTAAATAAGTGAGTTATTTTTCTCTTTTAGTGCCCTTATTTAATTGGTCATTAGGTAGAGCTATCGCTGGATCCTGAATATCTTTTCGAGCTGACCTTGCCTCTTTGTCCACAGCCACTGTGTTCAGGCCTCGCAGTTGCCTACCTGGAGGCAGAGAACACCAAGGTTGGGGGGGGCACCAAGGACTGAGGCTGACAGTGGCCGCCACTGAAGTTGGCAGGATCACGTGGAATTAATTAGGAAGGAGGCTACTCTCAACCCTGACTTCATGTCACAATCACAGGCACAGCCCAGCCCCATCCCAGAGATACTCGCTCGGTTTGTCTGCGGGGTGGGGGTGGGGGGCGACGCATGTTTTTAGAAGTGCCCGAGGCCCAGGCGATTTTAATGCACTGCCCGAGCTCACAACTACTGGACTGTGGTTCTTCAAGAGTGGTGCCCGGTCCAGATACAACAGCATCACTGGGGAAGCTGTGTGACTCGCAAAGTCTGGACAGCTCTACCCAAATCTACTGAATCAAACTAGGGGGTGAGGCCCGGCCATCCGCCTCGTAACAAGCTCCCAGGGCATTCTGATGTGGCCAGCAGGTGAGAGCCACCGGCACTGACTTAGAGAGTTGCTAAGTGCTTAGAGAACCGCACCCCTGAAGGATCACTGACACCCAAGAAAGTTAGTTCTCAGGGCTGGAGACAAAAGACAACCCTTCTGATCGCTACAGAACGGTCAAAAATGGTGTGGACCCAGGAAAGACATTGCCTGCCTTTGATAAGGGGTCAGCAGGACCTGGAAGCGGTTTCAGCAAAGAAGTGAAGGCGAGTCAGGGCTCTCAGGTTGAGGGGAGAGACGGCGGGACGAGGTGGAGAGGGTGTGGCCTGTTGGTTGAGACCCCGGCCCCGACCTGGCAGAGGCCAGAGATGGAGCTGGAGGTGGCACTTCAGTTCACACAGGAGTGCTTTTGTCTGTTTGTCCTTGAGGAATGGGTGATATTGCAACAGATTTGGAGATGAGGAAGTTCCTGCACAGAGAAGGTTGGTTTTGGAAATAAAAACAAAGTGCTATGGCATTTCCCGGGTCAGGAGATGTCTTTTCAGCTATAGGTTAACTCAGGTAACCAGTGGTTCCATTTCCTCCCTTCAAACCTGTGTGTCAAAGGGTACACTATAGAGAAAAACAGAAAACAGTTGTCTTCTCTTGGCCTAAATGAGCATGGAGAAATGTGTCCGGGGACTGTGCTCCGAGACTTAACGGTGCCTTTCTAGGCGTCTCGCGGGCCACGAAAGGAGGGCAGCTGAGAGAAGGGAGACGCTTGCTCACGCGCTGCCCGCCGGCGCCGGCAGGGCCTCCCTGAGACCTGCGCACGCGCGCTGCCCGCCGGCGCCTACAGGGCCGCGCCTGCTCCTTTCCCGGCCAAGGCGCCCTGAGACCTGCGCACGCGCGCTGCCCACCGGCGCCTACCGGGACGCGCCTGTTCCGCTCCGGCCAGGCCTCCCTGAGACCTGCGCATGCGCGCTGCCGATACGCGGCGCCCACCCGCTTCCCGTGTAGACCTCGGTGGGGGCTCAGCCTTGAGTTTCTTAGCCACTTAAAGTTTGTTTCTGGCTTGACCTTTTCTCCACGCATGAATTTCCAGAGAAGATGCTTCTTTGCAGAGCCTTTTGCCTTCTTGCCCCCCTTCCCCGCACCCGTCTCTCCACTCTCTGTCCTTGAGGTTCGCAGTCTCAGGCCTCACGTTGGTGCTTGTTCATGCTCCCTCAGGCACAATTTCTTTGTTAGCCGCCCAGCTACCTCTGTCTTCACCCCCTGGGGCACACCTTGGGGTCCTATTTGTAGGACTTCTACTGTAAATCTCTGGCACTAGCTGCTTCCTGCTCTGGCAATCTCACAACGAAGGGGCCTCCACGATTAGCATAATTGCTATAGTTCCCGCATGCATAATTCCCCTGCCCCAAATGTCACTACACCAATTCGCCATTCAGGCTCCACAAGACAATAAAGCCCAGGACCCAATGTGACCGGGATTGGGGCTGCTTTACCAGTGGCCTACTCGCGGTCTCTTCTGTGGTGCCCACGTCCATCTAGGGGAGTCATAGCTATGATATTAGAAATCAAGACTGGTTTAGGGGCGAAACTGTGACGTCACAGTCGACAATTCAGAGCAGGCCCAGGACTGTTAGAGAAGCTGGACACTGACTTAAACTGGAGAGATTTGTGTCTCGTTGACTGGTTTTTTTGCTAATTATTTTGTTTTCATTTTATTCTGTGTACATAGCTCCTCCTGCCCCAACCAGAGACCCCTTACAATCTTGAAGCGAGTCTGCTTGTACTAGCAATCATGTCTAGACTTTTGTATTTCTCTGAGGGAATTAGCACTGCATGTCTCTTTCAGGGAGATCATCGCTCTTTAAAAGCATCATTTTCCATTAAGGAATCTTGATCTGTGCTCTGATTTGCAAGCATGACGGGTTCATGCTGCCTCACATATTGGATAGCTGGATGTTTTTTTACTAAAATACAGGAGCACAGCTAAGACACGGGGAATGAAGCTTCAACTGAGAATTTGTACATACTGGCTGATTGTACAGTCTATAATATTTTTGTTCTTTTTTTAAAAAAATCTTTTAATTATAGCGTATATTAGATAATGTTAAAAAGAAAACACCAAGCTCTTATTACATATTTTAGCTGTACTGATCCATATGTACTGTACAATATTGATTCCTAACACTGAAATTTATTTGGCATAAAATTTCTAAAGCCCTAGTCTGAAATATTTACATTTCTTTACTGTATGTGTTAAGTTTTCTTCTGCTGAAAATAATAGAAAGCTCAAATTTGCAAAAGCAAAAAGAAAAATATTAGCTTACATATTTTAGTTAGTCCAGAGGAGATTTTAAGTTCATGAATAATAAGTTTCACACATAGTTTCATGTGTGCATGGATTAACTTCATGAATGATTTTAGCTTCATGCATAGTTTGATCTATGGGTTCAAATGAAATGGTAAGGTCTTGATTTCTCTCCTTTCTTGCTTGCTTTTTGGCTTTGGCTTGGTTGATTTTGTTCTCAGACACACTCTTTCCTTCTAGTGACAAAACAGATACAGACGCAGCAGCCTGGGAGACAGGACCGAAAGAATGGTAGGTTGAACATGAACTCTGGGATAGATGCATCTGGATTCTGCAGCATCCAAGGGAAGACCTTCCCTTCACTTTCTGAAGGTTCACTGAAATTCTACCCAAACAAGGCAAATTAGTAGGAGAAAAGGCATACACATTTATTAACATGCACAAGAAGAAAATCACAGAGTGATTACCCCATATCCCAATGGGTACAGATGCTTGTATACCCTACTTTTTAGGAGAAAGGAAGATGGGAAGAGTGGATGATTTTAGGGGGATAGTAAATGATTTTTAGGGAATTCAATGAGCTTGCTAAACATGCAGTGACCTGGGACGTGGTCTGTTGGCCCCACGAAGTGGACAATGGTTTATGACAAAAGTCTGTCTAGGTGTGTTGACAGACTTCAGTCCTTTTTCCTGCAACATAAGTTCAGTCAATAAAACTCAGGGACGGAACCAGAAGTCACTGTTTTCTCCTTTGGTGGGTCCGGACTTTAGGCAGATAAGGGAGCTTTGGAGGGCAGCTTCAGCCGTGCTTTGGGAGGGACTGAGGACTGAGACACCGTGTTCTTCGGTGCAGTATGTCAAAGCACTGTATTTTGGGGTATCTGTTCCTGAACCTCAACAATTCTAATCTTACTTATCCTGTGAATTCACACAAATTATCTTTTATTCACAAACCTCAGTGTCCTCATCTGTGAAACAGGCTCCTGATAAAGTCTCCTTCTTCTGGGGGCTGTGAGGATTAAATCAGACCATCTATGCCAAGCACTTGAAGGCTTCTGGAACCTAGTACTTTCCGTTAGCTCGTGTTAGTGTTATTTCCTTTCCTGCTTTAACTGGAAAGGGTGTCTGCCTCTTCTGCAAAAGAAGATTCCATCCTGCAGCCCCCACGGCCACAGTGACTTGTATGAGGACGGGTGACCCAGCTCGTGTAATCACAGTGAACCTCAGGACTTCTGCTTGGAACACAGCAACAAGAGCTCCTCTATCTTTTGAACAGTTATCAGACTCATCTGGGCCGTGGACTGGCTGTGGCTTTTTTACTGCACTGAGAACCCAGCTTGGGGATGAAGTTATCACAAAAATGATGGCACAAATAAGCTGAGAAAAGGAGCCAGAACTCTAGGAACATGATGACTGTCGAGAACAAACTATGCCTGTAGGCTCTCTACCACTGAGCTCAGTTCTGCGGGCCCATTTGTTGGGTTATCTATTCCTTGCAAGCAAAGGACCCTTATGAACGCAGGAAACACACATAAGATTGCCTATTATTTTGTCAACCAATAACATAAAAATCAAAGCGAGGCCTCTCAGATCAAATCTTCTACTCTTATTTAATAAGGAGATACTTTGTTATTAATAAAAGTAGAAATGACGTAATTTTGGAATATAGAACAGTCTTTTCAAATAAATATATTTGGATTTTTGCAATATTTACTTCTAATATTTTGCAGATCGGAAAAAACTACATCATGATTTTTACGGGCCCATGGACCAGCTTTTAGGGACCAATCAGATAATACACATAAAATGCTTATTACAGGGTGTGGCACACACAGTAGGTGCTTCACTGACGGCAGCTGTGCAGGCTTCAAAGAGGCATGGGGAGTTCAGACTCCCACAGGGACCAAGGGCCTTGGTCTTCGTGTAGGAGACAAGAGAGTAAGTCCCTCTTATTGTTGTTTTCCCCATAGAACCTAGCACATAAAAGGCACTTCACTAATATTTGTTGAATGAATGATTGAGGATGATGAAAAGTGGATAGAAATATGAAGTGACAACAAATACGAAGGGGAGCAATGGCATATCCTCACGGTGACGGCAGTGGGCCGGGTGTTGCTGACACCCGCGGGCAGAGGGCGCAGCCGTGGCCTTGCCCAGCCTGCAGCGTGCTGCGCCTGCGCACTGGACAAGCGGGCGGCCTGAGGCTCCGCGTGCCGCGGGGCTGCGGAGTCAGTGCCGCGCCGACCACAGGTAGGAAAGGTGAACCTGGGCGCAGGTGAGTGGGGCCCATTCCTCTGCAAAATGAGAGAAGCTGTGGCATGAGGAACCAGCTGTGGAGTAGGGAAAAAAGGAGTTTTGAGGTGTTTCTCTACTATTTAACTAGAGTGTAAAACACGTTGGCTACTCAGAGTGAATTTGAGATGCTGAGAAATATCTTTTAGTAAATCCCAAATTGATGGTTCTGTTTCTCTAGAGAACCCTGACTAACACGTGTTCTAGCTAATCTATTATCCATTCCTTCCATTCTTTCTCCAATCCTCCTCTTTTTTCCAAATCTACTACTGCTACATCAGTCCAGGTCACCATTGTCTTGCTTTCTCCTACCACTGGGCCTTTGCACATGCTGTTTCCTCTACCCGAAGTGTTCATCCCTCTGCTCTTCACCTAGTTAACTTTACTCATCTTCCAGGCCACTCAGCCGAACTGCAGCTTCCTTGGAGAAGTCTTTCCTGATACCTGGCTAGGCAGGTCCTTCTCTTACAGCACCAAGCTCTTTATTTGCAAACTTTTATCATAGTTGCATTTGTATATTTTCATTAATTTCTGCTGTTTCCATAGATGGCGAGAATCAGGAGGGAAGGAGTAATTCCTTATTTTAGCCCCAGCACCTTGTACAGTGCGCAGCACAGAGATTTGATAAATAGTCATTGAATGAACACATAGAAATATCATTAATGATACATATCAAGTTCACAGGAAGAAGACAGTTCTGTGCCAGTTGTGTTCAGAGGGGCTGAATTTCAAGACCTCCCTTCTAAGAGCATCCAACAACAGGTGAGGGAGCTTGGCAGCAGGTGACTCAATGGATAATCTGCTCTCCAAATTCCACTCTCTAGGGACAGAGAGATGTCTGCAGAGAAGACTTCCATGTTAGCTTGGCATCCATGGGTATCATCTGCTTCCTCGCGTGCATGTATGGACTGGACTACTTGGACAGGAAGCAACTATTAATTAAATACTAGATTTTCAGCATCCTTAACATATGACTATAAAGCACATCTGCTTTTTTCTTTTCTTTCTTTTTTTTTTTTTTTTTTTAAGAGATGGGTCTCGCTATGTTGCCCAGGCTGAACTCTAACTCCTGGGCTCAAGTGATCCTCCTTCCTCAGCCTCCCAAGTAGCTGGGTCTACAGGCACATGCCACCACTTCTGGCTCACGTCTGCTTTTAATGTTGATCTTATTTGAGACTCAGTTTTCATAGTCTCGGTTCATCAGTTTCAACTTTATTCAGGTCTAAATTGTTGTTATTACACTATAGCTTCTTCCACCTTAACTGCAACTTATATGGGATCTCGTTATAAATCAGTCCTATGCCCCTTCCTGCTGCCTCTTCCTGAATGCCCCTCTTTACATCACAGCAGGCTAGAGAAACTGATCCCAAAGCTTCTCTCTTCTATGTTCTCAGTGTGTCTTTTTCTAAATTCCACCCTTTAAATTTGTCACGGTGGTGTCGTGAGGAGTGTATTTCCCCCTCTTTACCTCCTGAGCAAGTTAGTGTTTTTGATCAAAGCACATCCAACTTTAAACCAATTGAGATTCCCATAATACTTGAAGTTTTTCACTTCCTAGCCTCTTTTCAATGGCATTTTTTTCTTTTAAGATTTAATATACTTATCAGAAGCAAATGATAAGAAGACAAAGAACAATAACCTTTTGTATCTTCCACAAGTGGAAAGGTACCATGGGACTTGCCTTGCACAGGGACTTGAATTAGGATTAAGGAAAATCAGATGAGGGTTGGCTAGAAAGGAAAGTTTTCCATGAGACCAGCGAAGGCTAACATGGAAGACCACACTGACAAAGCAGTTCGCTGGAGGGGTTCTAGGAATACCAGTGCTCCGGTGGAGTGAGTTGCCAATTACTCTGTTTCATTCACCTGCAAATATTTAATATGGGGCTAAACTGTATTTCTTTGGCCTCCCAATCAATCACTTTCTTAATTGAATCATTTTTTCCCATGCAATTAAATGACATTTTCTTCAGCGCCAGATTAGCCATTCATTGATTACATTAGCACAAATGGGTTGTTACAATAGCCGTAGGTGTTGCATTACCAGTGTTTTGACCCCTGTGTTGGCACTGCCTAGTCACGCTTGGTACTGCATTTACCCAGCCCTGTACAATCTCCTCTGGCCCATCTGTGTCCCTCCCATTGGAATACTGGGCTGTCCCCGTCTGCACACCCACAATGGGCTGGGTGGGAAAAGAACAATGTGTTTCTCCCCTTCCTGGCTCTGGCTATGATTACTGGGCTCCAGGGAATTTTTTGTTTTTATCCTCTGTCTCTTCCCAAAGGGGTACTTGGAGAGTTGTTTTCTGGTTCTGAATTAGAAAATAGTGACCTTCACTGGTAATGGCTAAGAAATTCATTCTTTACGTGCTGTACATAATAGTGAGTGTTTGGATAAGGACTGCTACAATATCGGCACATACTTTCGATATGAGTGCGCCACGCTGACAGTTTTACATATGTCATAGACTCGCAGTTACATCTGGTTCTCAAAGTGGAGAGGTCCATGGATAATCTGCATTGAGTTATCTTAACAAATGGTAGCTCGTTCCTTTTGTGCTGTTTACTAAAAAAAGAGTGTGACATTTTTTAGGATGAGAAGGAGGACTTTTAGTCTTTCATCAGCTCTGTTAATGAAGACTCTAAATCCCATGAGTTTGGAACTGCTGGGGATGCTGATGACACATCCTTAAGCAGTTGTTCTGCACCAGTGTTTCATTGTATTATACTGGCAGTTGTTTTTTGTTTCAGCTTTTAAGTTCAATGATACTGAGAACAGATTAGAACTCTACTCTCCAATATGGTAGCCACCAGCCCCAAATGGCTATCGAGCTCTGGAAATGTGGCTGGTCTGAATTGTGATAGGCTGGGAATGTAAAATATACACTGGATTTGAACTTGGTACAAAAAAAAGCCAAATTTCATAATAACAATTTTTACATTGTTGAATGTTGAAATGATAATATTTTAGATATATTATATAAAATAAAATATACTTTTGAAATTAATTTCACCTGTTTTTTTTTTTTTTACTATTTTTAACGTAACTACTAGAAAATTAGAAATGACATAAGTTGCACACATTTGTGGCTCACGTTTTGTTTGTGTTGGACAGAACGGCCTTAAACATTGCCCAGAATGTGTTCCAGTTAACCATTCGCAGGGTGCTCTCGGTCCAAGTTTGAAAGCAGCCCTGCGAAATCAGAAGCTATAACTTACAGGGCAACTTGGAAACTGGTTAGTAGATTCGTAAAAGATAAATTCAGGTGATTTTACATAAAGCTTGTCACATTCATTCCTCTGACAGCCCACATATGCTTGGGTTTAAGCGCTGGAATTTATGGTGGAGGGAGGCGCTGAGGTGCTTCTTTCTTCCAACCTTCTCGTGCTACTGATCCGATCTGTGCCTGCCACACCTACAAGCCATACAAAGAACAAGAAAAGGCTGATGCTACCGTCAAGGTGGGCCCCGCTGCCTGTTTCTCGGCCAGTAGCTACAGAGCTGTAGAGTTACAATGTTGCACCTCTAGTTCTGGTTCTCCAGTGTCCGGTCTTCCTCAAAAATCCTCCAGTTCAGGCCCTGCACTCTGCTTTCATCTGTAAATCTCCAGGCTGTGCACCTTGTGCTGGCCGTAGCAGGAGATAAATTTTGTAGGCTCTTCTGACTTGGCTGCTTGGCCAAGCCTTGTGTTTACCCAGTAACCCATCAAAGTCACAGTCTAATCCTTTAATCCCTGGATTCCTTAGTGGTCCAATTGTTTCTGCAAAATCCAAGTCAGCCAGAGGGCTGGAGCAGGAACCCCCGAGGCTCAGAAGCACCTTGAGAGGAACAGAGGACAAGACATACACAGGGACTCAGAATCCTGCAAATTCTGGGCCTCCAAAGCCCTGATCGCACCTTGCAAAGTCATACTCGGGGCTGAAATGGTAGAGGTGGCAGGAGAGTGACCGGAGGTAGGCCGGAAGATATGGTGTGTGCGGTATTTCATCATCTCTAGTTTTTATTTCAACAAAATAAAACAGAATCTTAACTAACCAACCTTTCATAGAATAAACAGACCAGTGACTTAGGCTGCCCATTAATAGGACAGATTTTAGGACCAGTAGTATTCCACTTTGAGCAGTGTGAACATTATTTTTTTTTCTTCTAGAATTTCAGGATATTATGAAAAATTGAGGGGCAATCTGTAACGTTGGGGGGAGACAGTCCCCCACCCACCCATCAGCATGGTCATGGTAAGGCTGAGGTTCTGATCCGGGAGGGGATCGGAAACTTTCCCAAATAGAGAAAGTGAATCAGTTGC